GCAAACAATGCTCACGAGCCAAGACGACTCATTATTCATAGGGTAATATTAGGTTTGCTATTGAAAAATCGTAAACAGTTATTCCGTAGTTTGGGATAAGCATTTTTTTTCTCTGCGCCTACCCTTCCATGAATATTTCAGTGCTATCCGATTGAAATGGTTCTTGTTTATCCAATCGGTGTTAATTCAATGAAGATACTGAATTCTTTATTAGGGTAATCGAGCGAATTCGACATAGAATTTCTCCGAAGTCTTTAATCAGCTTTATGTGCGCATTTCGACTTTCCTGCAGCTACACTATTTGTCTCTATTCTATTCAAAGGAGTTCTCCTTTTGTACGTAAGTGTATTGCACTAGCCAAACCGACGCAAAAACGCACAAAGACTCATATCCTTTTCAAAGCTATCCTCCCATACCTATCCTGCAACTTCCTGTTGAAATCAATAAAGCGCCGGGTAATATACCATTGGATAAAACTAGAAGGACCTTTGACCGATCAACCGAACGTAATCACGTTTATCAGCGAAACAGAAAACTCCTGGATTTTTATATGTCGTTTTTGTTGTCTCCTCTTTTCCGCTTTTCTTTGTTTGGCCCGTGAAAATAAACTCGCGGAAAATAAATTACGTAACGGCTTAAAAATAGGTAAAACGGTTTGAATATATTCTCGAGTCGCGGAAAAAAAGTTTTTCTCCTAAAACATAGCCGAGCGATCCGGGCGGATCCGGATGAAGGAAACTCCGACTTCGGCGACGATTCTTTTGTCGGGAAACTCCTTTTCGAAATGCTCCTTTAATAGAATTAACGATTCAGAAACGATTTCAATGGGCGAGGGACGTCGAAAAAGTTAGTTCTAAAGTGTTTTTAAATACGAAAAACTCGGCAAAGTTATCCCGAAACGTTTCGTACTATTAAAGAACACGTGTAACTGCTCGGAAAATCGCGGAATATAATGTCAGTTTCCAACTCCGGCTCGAAATTAAAAAACAAAACTTTTTTCCAATCCTTCACGTTTTCGCGTCGGTTGGGATTCTGAATAATTTTTCACCCAAGACACATCCAGTATAATTAATTAAATTATTAATCGCTAGAGCAATGCCAAGGGTGGTTTTTTTGATGATATTCAAAACATTTCAAAAACGTATCTAAATATTAATTAATCAAGCCGAGTCGGCGAATACGCGAAACGTTAACAAAAGTTCCTTCTGACTTTTCCTCCAAGGACCGCCGTAAATTCCAAGGCCTATAACATAAAAATACCTAATACCCTTACGAAATTAATTCCGAAAGTTGCTTTTTCCGCATTAAACTTTCCTTTATCCATCTAGCCGGCGAAGGATCAAGCTGAAATAACACCGAAAACGGATTTTTTTGCCGAGCCAAAAAAACCGATCAAAAGAATATCCAATTGGTTCGGTTTTAAATGTCACAATAAAATCCGGTATATACCTAGCTCGTATTTTTATTCGACACGTCCGCGGAAAAAATAAAATAAAAAAAACACTCGGCGAAATTCTCAATCAAAATAACAATGCGGGGTGGTGGCATTTCAAACCGGCAATGGTCCTTACAACCCTTAGACCGTGAAAGGGCTAATGAAATGCCATACCCTGAAACAATATTATTCCTACATACGAATACAGTACAATATGTCAACTGATATATGGATATCATAATATCCGGATTGCTAAATAAATAAACGCTGCAATTTAATCATAATAGGGTAGGGCGGGGCTAGTTGAGCAACTTTTCACTTTAGCGGATATAGCTCATCAATGATATGTGTGAATGACTTGTTATGTGGCTTGATGGATTAGTAATTTATCCCTTAACAAAAGTGTCCATAGTAACTTTTTTGTAACTAGTTGAATTTAAGAGCTACAGCTGTTTAAATGCAGAAAGTCAAGTATGCTCAATGTACCCCATAGGTGAGGTAAGTTGAGCAACGGTATGTTTATATATAGGATATGTTTATTTTTATAATCATCTCTTTATTTATTGTGATTTAGTGACAAAACAACAAAACTTAAAGTAATTTACGAGCTTTCTGTTTAAAATCAGAATTAAATAGCTTAAAAAAATATTAATAATATATTAGCAAGTTTTGGTCGTTGTTACTGTTGCAAATTAATACAAATGAAAGTAAGACCATAGCACCTGGAAGACATTTTATTTGTGCCCATTCCCTGCAAGCTTGGCAGTGAATCCAACTTTCTCCTGGTAAATTTCGCAGTAGTTGCTCAACTAACCCCAACCCGCAATTTTAAAATAAAAGTGAGGTCATAAAGAAATCGTAAGAATTATAACCAGAACATCTCTACATATCAAAAGTACAATAATTTTCTGGAATATTAACCCTTACCCCATTGAAAACGGATAATATTTGACTAATACAGACGAAAACTTGCGATAGACGACGTTTTTACTTTTTGGTCACAAAAAAAACAAAACGCACGGGTGCTTTACTCGCTTGTCGAGGCGCCACTTGCAATAGCTCTGTGATTAGGTCTCCCCCGACCCCTTCTTTCCGCCATAAGATGTTTATGCGTACGGTGAATAGTTTGCGAGATATTTCGATTGCACAACTTACCCGTATGCTCAACTAGCCCCGCCCTACCCTACTCTTATGCTAATTAGTTCCACACCTTTTATTTTAGTAATAAATAATTTACTCCATTTTGTTTTTATTGACTCCTCCTAATTTTGTAGGGTACTGTAATCGAGTAGGTACCACCATAAAATTGTACAAGTAGTGCCATCTTTTATGGGATGGTAGAGGTTTCTGGTAGTACTGTGTTAGTACCACAATTCGTTCATAGGTTGTACCAGATTTCATTTTTTTAATTATTTATTATATTAATTTATAAAAAATGCAATTCTATTAAACTTTATAATTATTGCTTAGGATTTAGTTTGCATATACTTAAAATGTTTTTGTTGTAATGCCGGTACCTGTAGAGGCTTTAAGCGACAATCCTTTCCCTAATCCTTTGTTTCCGTCGAATTCCTTCGGTCCGGGAATAATAGTAAAAATAGAAATATCGCCGGATTTGTTTCTGAGAACCTAATCAAGATCTTAGCATGGGCCGAATTTTCGATTAGTATAAATCTCTAAAATCCGAAATCCGCAGGTAAAAGATTACGTTTTCTCCTCTTTCACCGGCCCTGTATACCTTCCCGGCTGAAACAAGCGTCGCTTTTCTAAAGCCACAAAAGACTTGTATATAAACTTCCACTCTCTCGCCAAACAAACCACAAAAGAGGCAGATTATCACCGCAGTCGGTGTGAATTTTAAACCCTTTTTTTTCGATTATTAAAAGACTCATTTTTAAAGTTTCCGAGTGATTTATGGGCCTAAAATAAATTTAAATACGACCTCGAGTATATCCGTAAATAAAAAGATTATTTACCGGCGCTTTGTATAGAAAATTTAATTAATTAATACATGTAATTAATTAAACCAAACTGCTGCCTGTACGATGGTCCGAGACGCGTTTAAACTCGTCCGAGGCACCGAAACCCATCATTTTGAATTTTTATTAAATGATTTCCCATTCCGCTGGTCTCAAAATTACAGGTTAAATGGCCCATGAAGGGGCTCATGTTATAATTAAATAACGAAACTGAACTATTACTTAAACATTAGGAGAAAATAGGGATAGGGCAGCCGAATATTCCCAGTAATTTGGCATGATTTCGAAACCGTTATGGGCGCGATTATGAACAGGTAGAATTTTCGAAATGGGTTCATTCTATGTACGAATTAATTTCCTTTGGCCTGCACCTATGTTTGGTTTCCGAATCGTCACTGGCGAGATAAAATGTAGCGCGAACCGAAGGAAAACAGGAAACGATCCATTAAAAACGTTTCAAACACAACGAAAATTCGATGTTTCCTAATTTTTCGTCGCTTCACAACAAACACAATAAAGTTACTTTTAATCTGTTTTCACACGTTTCAACATTGACAAGACAAAGCTAATTAAATATTTAGCCAAGATAAAAACCGTTTAGATTTGCTCATTTAAAACGCATTGTTGTTGATAGTTTTCAAAACGTTAATCCCGATTTATTATGCAAACAAATCTTCTTGGAATATTATAGCTGTTTTATTAAATAACCCGAAGGTGGCGAAACGCAAATAAAATTTTTATAGAAGTCATTTTCTACTTACAATCTCCCAGCGACCCTCCTATATACCTGCTTTACTTGCACTTTCGGATTTCAAAAGAAGGGCGAAAATTAGTTTCGGGATTCTTAGCGCGACGATAACATCAGGAGAAAAGGGCGTTTTTAGGGAATAAACGCGCCGATTTTACAATATCATAAAGCCGCGAGAGCGAGAGAAAGATGGACGGATAAAGCGGAAAATGTCTTTGGAAATGTCGCTGACGTCTGTTTTGATAAGGGTTGTTAAGTAATTAACATTCCCGGGAAGCGACGATCTAATTCTAATTTCGATTTTGTTACAATGTAAAAGCGTTTCAAATTTCGAAATTCTACTCGGATAAACTGTGTTAAATTTTTTTTTGAAGATTTACTTGACAATATAGGGGTATAATTTAGGGGTTAATTGTATTGGAGAATTTGACACGTTGTGTCAATTAGTATGTTTGTAAAACAAGTATCGTTTAGTTAGATTTCCCCAGATCTGATCAGGTATCTCCAAATTTTCTAAAAGTAGGCATTATACACAATTTCGGAATTAACTTAGTTTGATAGTTAGTAAACTAAATATTAAGTTTTTCGAGACATTCAAGTAGGGGTAAAAAAATCTTGAATGCGACGTAAATTTACTGGGAAATATTTTCTTAATTCTCTTTAAACCAGAAAGTGCAAGTAAGAGGAAATTCCGGAAATTCGGAGCATGAACCGGCAAGTGGCGCCCTCCCTATGAACCGGCACGATCGAGAACTAAACCCGTACCAAAGCGCCTGCGCCCGCTCGACGGACTCGCGTCTTCGTATATACGAACAGTCAACAACCGAGAGCTGTTAGTAGAACATCAGGCTTTGCGGAGTGAAAACGCGCCACCGTATCGCTCCGGGCCCAATGACCGCGCTCGACGCAACCGAAAAATGTTGAAGGGAAACCTCGCGAGTTTTTCACAGTGAGACGATTCGGCCGAACTGTTCGCAAAAATGTACCAATTAGTGCTAGTGCTGCTGCTCTTCGCGACCGCAATACTGGCGGGCATCAGCCACTTCGACGGGCCGGAGCAGTGCTCTTGGCGGCCCGACAACACGGATACGTCCTCTTCGAAGCTGGCGGTTACGTGCAAAGTCAGAACGCTGGAGGAGAGCGCCAATATTACCGCTCTATCCGCCGAAGTCACGTCCAGGTTGAGAATATTGTGCAGTGATGTTTTGTTCTTCGAAAGTGCGCTTCCCACGCAAGTTCTACAACGGCTTCACGAGCTGGAAGAATTGCAAATTACCAATTGCAAGATCCTCACCGTACCGCCGAATTCGTTCGAGGGATTGTACAACGTGAAAAAGCTGACTATAAATACATTCAACGCCGATTGGAGTCCTGCTAAAGTATTGGAGTTGAATCCGTACAGCTTGCAAGGGTTGAAAGAGTTGCAAACTCTGGATTTAACCGATAATAACGTCAGAGCTTTTCCCGATGGCTTGTTCTGCTCGTTAACCAATCTTCTAACTCTTAACATAACGAGAAACAGAATTAGAAATCCTGAAAGGATCGGACTGAACGTGCCGGAATGTACCAACAGCGAGTTGCAAAATTTAGATTTGTCTTTCAACGATTTGAGAAGTTTATCGGAAGAAGCGGGATTTTCGAAGTTGCGACGACTCCAACATTTGTATTTACAGAACAATAACATAACTGAAATTTCCGGCGAAACGTTCGCAGGTTTGGTATCGTTAAAAGTTATTAATTTAGATAACAACAAAATCGGAACTTTACCAGAAGGCCTGTTCGCCGGAACTCCGGAGCTGAAAGAAATCCACATAATGAACAACTCTTTGTTCTCGTTGGCGAAAGGAATTTTTCACAGATTAGAACAATTGTTGGTGTTGGATTTGTCCGGTAATCAATTAACAAGTAATCATATCGATGCCGGAACATTTTCAGGACTAATCCGTTTAATCATATTGAATTTGTCGCACAACGCAATCACTCGTGTCGATAGCAAAACTTTCAAAGATTTGTACTTCTTACAAATTTTAAACCTAAGAAACAACTCCATAGGATACATAGAAGACAATGCGTTTTTACCATTGTACAATCTACACACTCTAAATCTAGCAGAAAATCGACTGAACACAATAGGCGAACAATTGTTTAATGGTCTCTTCGTCCTCAGCAAACTGACGCTCAACAATAACCTCATCGTGAACATCGATTCGAGCGCTTTCCTAAATTGTTCGGCTCTCAAAGAATTAGATCTCTCCTCCAACGCCCTTTCCGAAGTTCCGATTGCCATCCGGGAACTCTCGTTTCTCAAAACTTTAGATCTCGGCGAGAATCAGATATCGCACTTCCGCAACGGTTCGTTCAAAAATCTAAATCAACTCACCGGCCTGCGACTGATCGATAACAACATCGGCAATCTCACCAAGGGCATGTTCTGGGACCTGCCCAACTTGCAAGTACTCAATCTGGCGAAGAACAAAGTGCAAAGCATCGAAATTGGAACGTTCGAACGTAACACGCAAATCGAAGCGATACGCTTAGACGAGAACTTTTTAACAGATATTAACGGAGTGTTCGCGACGCTGGCGAGTTTGTTGTGGTTGAACTTATCGGAAAATCACTTGGTGTGGTTCGATTACGCTTTCATACCGAGCAATCTCAAGTGGCTCGATATACACGGTAATTTCATCGAACATCTAGCGAATTATTTCAAGATCCAAGACGAAATTCGTGTGAAAACTTTGGACGCCAGTCACAATCGCATCACCGAAATATCGTCGATGTCCATTCCGAATTCCATCGAATTACTGTTTATTAATAACAATTTCATCAAAACCGTGCAGCCGAACAGTTTTTTGGACAAAGTTAATTTAGCCAGAGTGGATATGTACGCGAATGATTTAGTGTATATGGACTTGAACGCGCTAAGGATTGCACCAGTTGCTTCGAACAGATCATTACCGGAAGTCTATCTTGGAGGTAATCAGTTTCATTGTGATTGCACAATGGACTGGTTGCAACTAATTAACAACATGTCGGCATCCAGACAATATCCAAGAGTGATGGATTTGGAGAACATCGTCTGCAAAATGACGCATTCTCGAGGTATGACCCATATGCCTTTGAATCAAGCTAAACAGAGCGATTTTCTGTGCACCTACGAGACGCATTGCTTTACTATTTGTCATTGTTGCGATTTTGATGCTTGCGATTGCGAAATGACTTGTCCCAATAATTGTACATGCTACCACGATCAAACTTGGAATAACAACGTCGTTGATTGTTCGGGACAGAACGCCGACGAAGTACCGCAAAAAATCCCGATGGACGCTACTGAATTGTATCTAGACGGAAACAACATCAAGGAACTTCAAAATCACGTTTTCATCGGTAGGAAAAATATGAGGGTACTATTTGTAAACAACAGCGGTGTAGAAACTATACAAAATAGCACTTTTAACGGTTTACAAACTCTGCAAACCCTTCATTTAGAAGATAATAACTTAGCCGAATTAAAAGGGTACGAATTTGAGCAATTATCGAATTTAAAGCACTTGTATTTGCATAATAATAGAATTTCGGTTATCGGTAATAACACATTGGAACCGTTGATATCGTTGGAAGTTTTATGGTTGAGCGGCAATAAATTGGTGACTTTTCCCGTATGGCAGTTATCAGCGAACACTCGTTTAACCGAAGTTATGCTGGGCAACAACCAGTGGTCTTGTCGCTGTAAATTCCTGCAAGGGCTCACGGCGTGGGTAGCAGACAATGCAGCGAAGATAGTGGACAGTGCGGACATGATGTGCTACAATCTCGACTCGAAGCCGCCGCAACGTCGCGAATTGGACTTTAACAGTACGGCTTGCAGTGATTTTTACGCCGGTAGTTCCGTCATAGACAGCATGTTAGTTTCCGATTATTGGCCGATGGTCGTTGTAACGTTGTGCGTTGTAATTTTCCTGCTGCTCGGTCTTGTGCTGTGGTTCGTTTTCAGAGATCCGGTACGCGTATGGTTGTATTCGCGTTACGGCGTCCGTTTGTGCAGTTTCCGCGCATCCGCTGCTAAGCAGTACGAGGACAGAGACAAATTGTACGACGGTTTCGTTTGCTACAGTCCCAAAGACGAGGAATGGGTGGTGCAAGCCCTGGCGGCGGAATTAGAGCCGAAATTCCAATTGTGCTTGCATTACAGAGACTTACCGCACACGGCGTACATCCAACACGCGGCTCCCGCCGTCTTAGAGGCTTCCGATTCGAGCAGAAGAGTGATAATCGTTCTAACGCGAAATTTCCTGCAAACCGAATGGTCGCGATTCGAACTCAGACAAGCCCTGCACGAGGCGCTCAAAGGCCGAGTGTTTAAACTAGTGATAATAGAAGAAGGACCTTTGCCCGAAGTAGAGCTCGATCCGGAACTAACGCTCTACACGAAAACCGCTCAACGGGTGAGATGGGGCGAGAAACGGTTCTGGGAGAAGCTCCGGTACGCGATGCCCTCCATCGAGCCCAAAGGAAAAATAAACGCGAACTACAGACGAAACATCAACAACTACACGATCGATTCCAGGGTGGTAGCGAACGGGACGCACCACGGCCATCACACTTACCCAGAGAAAATCCGGACGCAGGGCCCGCCCAGTCCCGGCATGCAGATGTTACCGCCGTCGTACTCGACCGCCGTGCCCCAGGAGCCCGACGACGCCAACTACTCGTCGGCGACGACGGCCACGCCGTCGCCCAGACCGATGAGGCGAGTGCAAGAGCCGAGGCCGATATCCGATCACATCTACTCGAGCATCGATTCGGATTACAGCACCCTCGAAAGGGGCTCCGGGAGAAGAGGGCCCCCATGGAGGCCTCAACACGTGATGATGCCGGCGGGGGCTAATAACGGAGGCCAGGCCTATCTTGTGTGATAACTTAATACGACTGACTAGGTATATATTTAACTATATTACTCTCAAAGACTTAATAATACTATTTCGAAGTCGACTAAAAATGTGTAACTATTGATTCATTTTGTAACTATTATTTTTGTATATTACTGTATATAGATATATTTATTTTGTTTTTATTGATTTTTTTTGTATTATGTGTATATTTTTTACGAATTGCAAACAAACGAATTATATAATAAATACGATGTCAAATATTTAATTAATTCTTTTTATTTCACCTACTCATTTAATTTAACAATAGTCAGCAAAAAAATTTAATTAAATAATTTCTTTAAACACTTTAATTTTAAAATAATAAAACTAATTTAACCATTTGTATATTTCAATTACAGAATATAATAATTATTGACATATATCAAAAAATTCATGAATGTTAATATCAAATATTGAGTTACAAACGTGACAAATGAAATTACCACAATTTTTATGAAATGAAAAATTTAAATTAAAATAAATTATTCTAGTTTATTGAATTTTTTACGATAAAAACCAATTTATGGCCAATACTATAGGCACATCAATTCTTATACATTTTTAACTAGGTCAATAAAAAAATGCCGTAAAATACCCAATTAAAAATATTCCAATTACACTTTAAATAATTAAATAAAAAAAACTTTATTAATAACCTAATTAATAATTAAACAGTCAATTTTCTATTTGAAGTACCTTTTCGCCAAACAAATAAAACTTCAACAACTTGTTTTTCCTTTCTCTTTGCACTTCGTAAATTTTCAATGATGCTCGACGGCTTAATTACTGTAATGTCGATGATAAAAGTGCTGTTTGCCCTTCCTATTTGCTCGATTAATAATTTCATTAAAAGCACATTTAAAAGTCGATTGAAAACCTGAAAAACATATTTTTCAAAGTAACCCACATTCCATTCACATTGAAAATTTAAAACGGAAAAAAGACTTGAGAAAATAAAAAATATAGTAGGTAATTTGATTAATGATTATTATGGTTGCGGTATAAGATTATAGCTGCGATAAAAGAGGTTAAGACTTCGAAAAGGTAAGACAATAAATTGTTTATTACGTAGTTATTAATTGATAGTAAACGGAGTTGCGTTTTTGCCGAGAAAATGGCGGTTGTTTGTTCGACCGGGGAAGAGAATTTTCCACGTAAAATTGATATCAACGGTTTCATTTTGACAGGCCTCAGAATGGAGGAAAGTGTGTGTATAGTGCCTCCTAATGGTGTTGCAGGAGCACAATAAAAAAAACCCGCCTTGACAGAGTAAACAATGCCGTTTTCGTCGACAACCGGAGTTTATTCTCGCAGTGACTAATAATGAGAATGGAAGTTAGAAATGGGGGTGACAATGGCCCGAAAATAAAATCGTCAATCACGGGTTTGGCACTTTTCCGGGTTCCACCCGGAAATGATGTATATACGCTGTTTTGTCGACGGTTATTTTTTTATCATAATTGTTTCGCTATAATTTATCGATTGCTGGAAATTTTAATCAAGCTTTTTTAGGTATTCATTCGATCAGAATAAATTGAACTGATAGGGCGCTCTGTAAATGTACGGTAAAATTTGCATTTTGTGGTTACAGTTACTCGCGATAACATTATCTGCATAAATGCTTGTTTACTATAAAATATTGAAAAGAATTGTCGCGTAACACTTATAAATTACCAATTAAAGTAATTAACTCGACAATGCACTTTTGCAACGACCTTCGCATCAATCTTTGTTTATTGTTGGTTAGCTGTTTAGGCATTTCAATGTGCGTGTGTTATTCAACTCTCAGGTAGCTAATAATAGATTTCGATGAATAAATGCATAATCAAATGATCGTGTTTTAAGTTTCACTTTAATTATCAGTTGCATATAGAGATAGTACGGATGCGTGATTACGTTACTTATCTCATCATTATAGCCACTTTTCCTGTAGTTTTTTCAATAGAATGTTAATGGGAAAATCTTAGGAGGAGATTAGTGATGTTTGGTTAAAAAAATTCCTTTGATTCGAGGCGTATTTCGGAATTCAGTTGGAGGTTTTCGCTTTTATTAATTCGCCTTTTAATTGCATCTAAAGGTCTTCATCAAGGAACGTTCTCGGACCTGTTTGTAACTCGCAGGTTTCCGATGTATAACACACAACTCGTTTATGCTGGTATATGTAGAGAAGATTCCCGTTCTCACAGGACCGGATCCGTGGGCCGGTCGGTATATTGGTCGGAAACTGGTTGTTGGCGAGGATTTTATTGCTGCTTACAGTTTTAGTGATAACAGTATTTTTTTTCCTCGTTGTCGTCGCCGGTCGAATTGATGGCTTCGTTAGAATTTTCTTCTCGAATTGTTTAATTGAAGATTCGTTACGAAAGGATTCTGTTTAGAGAGTTGTGACTTTCACACACGTAATCTTTCGATCGCGTTTATTACGGGTTTCACTCGACCAAATTCGATTAGCGAAAAAACGCTTCCTCTCGATGGTTTTCGTTTAAAAACGCTGTCAAAAAAAAAGTATGTTAATTAGACCAGTGGGCGTTCGAAGAGTGAAAGTTAACGCGGAATATTATCTACTTTAATTCTAGTAGTAAAAACAAACTGTTCTACTGTTTATTGGCGATCTAAACTAATCCGTTTAACGACGTGCGAATCGCAGTAAAATTTTATTATTTTTAACAAAACCCCAATAAACATCAAAACAAATCTAATCCGTCCCGTTGGCGATAAATAACAAAGACCGAAAATAACGTATAATATTAATAAGTGACCTATTTCCACGTGCGTTAACGGCCACTGTAAATCCGGATATCTGATACAAAGATCACAATGCAATCGAAAAGTTTATAGGAAAAAGAGCGTTTTACGCAAAATGGAAGTAGGTTGGTAGTTCGATAAAGCCGAAGGAAATAAGGGAATTTACCGACCGAAACAATAAGTCATTAGAAGCCTTTTTAATGGGTTTTTATACGCGACTTAGTTTCATTTATAACGCAGTGCTGTAGCAAATAAAATTATTTTTCTTTCTATTATTATTATTATTACATTACCAATCAACTAGGTTATCAACTTAATTTTTTTATTTTGTGCTATATTCAAAGCAGAAATATATACATATTATGTCGACCTAATTTTCTAAAAAGTTAGGAGAGCCACTCAAGAAATTTATCTTGCCATTGTTTCACTTACAGATTATTAGATACACTCAAATTGCAAGTAGGTATAATTTATTTTCGAGAGCGTATTGGCATTACCTTCATAAAACAGAATGACCCTCTTCGAGTTGGTTATTGAAGAAGACCATCAAGATAAACAGTCTATTATCTGACAAGCCGTTAACGGATTATTGTAATAGTCTTCTAACCTACACACATGAAATCTATAATGAAATCAATCCACATACGGGGCTCTGCACGAAATTTATTTATTATCTACTGCAAATAATTGCATTGGATTTTTTTAAGCGTCTACTGATGATAATTGTTGTATATATGCATATACAAATTTCTGTTATTTAATCACCTGTTTTCCGAAAACTGCTATTTCGATTTCGCTGTTATGAAACAAAAAATAAAACCGTACAGCTCGCGATAACGACACGTTTCGCATTTTCTTCCAACTTGATAAATCGGCCACGGTTTAGTTTATTTAAAAATATGTAATAATAAAACGAGGCGTTTGCGTGTAAAGTTCACGGCCGCCCTATCGGGGGGAAGCCGAGAAAACCGTGCATAATGAACGACATTATTAATGTCAATTTAAAACTGCGAGAACTCAATCATACACATCACTTATCGAATTGATTACATTCGGCGCAACTAGTCGTTTTGAACACATTTTTACGCCTTACATTTTTCACTATAAACTTGATTAAGCGAAGTGATACCTCTCGCAATGAAATTTTAATTAAAGCCGTTCGATTTTTCCGAGGTAATTGCGGCGAATTGAAATAGATATCGGTGCGTTGAACTGAAATGATCGATCGTTTATTGACTGAACTTGACCAAGGCAAATACAGTTAGTTTGTTAAGTCTGTGTATATTCTATGCAGTCGAGTGTTCTCGAACGGAACTGGCGCATTTCGATGGGCTACGGATGGCCGGCGGAGAAAGGCCGGTCATAGAAAATCATAAATATATAGCCGATGGGATGGTTAATAAAAACATTCAATTACTACGGCGGTCGAGGCTATTTGGTACTTATATACAATAGCGCGATAATTAAAATTAATTCGATTATGTAACTAACAGCGCACGTTGAAATTCGTCGATTGAAAGCTTTTAATTGATTCACTTGAAGCCATTATCTTAGCAATGTCACAAATCACTAATTTTTGCAACATTAAATAATTATATAAGATATTTATTATTTATTTTTACTCTGAATTATTTATGTAATAAACATCGATAAACCTGCATAAGTGTTTACTGTTTGAATATGAGTTGAACAAACATTTCTCAGAAATTATTTAAACCTTAAGAAAACATACTAAAATTGCATCGAACAGATTACAACAAATATTTTACAATAAAGCATAAAATAGACGAATTTTATGGCAATTAATTAAAAATTCACGTGAATCGAACGCTTTTTCGCCGAGCTCCTTTCGTCCCTAAATAAGGAAAACCAATTTCCAACCGAACAATAACAAATAATAATCCATTATGAACAGATTCGGCGTGCATTCGTGAAACCTCAAATATCGTTACATCATAATCGATTCCAACGTATAGAAAACTCCCGCCAACAATGGAAATATTCATTACGGCTCGTTAAAAATGTAGCGCAACATTCCCCATTTCAATTTTCGAATTCGATCAAATAGTCACGATTCCATTTATCTCTAATAAGCCGTATTCATTTCGAAGACATCCCTGCCCGTACAGCACGAATCAACTTGACATGACAACCGAACCAAAGTCACTTATTAAAAGCCTGTGTAAAGCCCCGCAGAAGTTTCGAACAACCTCAATACCAAGGTGACATATGACAGTTGAAGTTGACATCAATTAATCATATATGACAGTTGATTGTTGACTTAAGACAGTTGATAAAGGGATTCGTTGCATCTTAGGTCGTAAATTGAAGAAAGGACAAACGTTTTAGCAAACGACAAAGTAGTTTAGCCGTAATTGAAATAGTAATTAGTAATTTTGAGTAATATTAGAGGACAAATTAGCATCAGAGATGTATCAATCTTGGTC